ACTATACTGAGATCTTAGAACTTATATCTCAAGGTGGGTGGCGCATTTACGTTGTAGATGTCTATGGGCTCCAGTAACCACTTAACACTAGGTGGGCTGTGAGCTCGCCACCCATCTAAGCAATAAAAAAAAAATTGATATTAAAACAATTATAAAATAAGACCACGCTATATTTATAAGCAATTAACAAAAGCAAAACATTAACTGTCCCTTTCACACTCATAAGCTAGACCGCACGAGAGAGAGAGAGAGATGGGCAGACTTTTCATGATGCGCATGCAGTGCAACGTCACGCCGCGCGTTTATTCACAAACACTACACAAGCGCAACGCGTGAATGTGTTAAACGCGAGCTACATGGCAGGCAGAGTGGGGGCGTTAGGTTTTATTTTCGTTACGGAATTTCTTGATTCGGTCGCACTCAAAGCCCGCGATAAAAATTCTGCAATAGCTTAAAAATATATCACGATAAATCGTATCGTACAAGACGACTCGTTCAAGCTCCATCTAAAATGTAAATCTATTTGACCGAGAGTATTATCTCTCCCTTTGTATCAGAATGTCTTATTTATATTCATTAGTTTGTTCCTGATAATGAAACTTTGATTAGGAGGATATTTGGCTGAAGCAATCGGGAATTTCGGATTTAGTCATTCGGAAATTTAAATTATGTTCATTGTTTTGTTGGCGAATGTCCATTTTGTATTTCGTTGTGGTAATTAAGTCCTTATTTGAGTTTAAATGTGTGGATGGAAATAAAAGGTACTTAATCTAAATCTATACTGAATAACGTAAGATTTGTAACGTTTTTAATTAATCTCAAGAATTACGTGATTCATATCGGAGTTCTGCTACATTTAAAGTATACTAGATGATGACCGGTTTTTTTTTTTTTATAAAGCCATCTTTTTGTGTCTTTAAAACGGTTAGTTGCCCTCAATTAAGAAAAATAGTATTATTATTCGCCAATAGATGTCGGGAAGAGTTGATTACTGAAAACACGAATAAAACAACATTTTCTGAAAATAAATCGTAGCTAGATCGATTTTTCGCCCCCGAAATCCCCTGTATACTAAATTTTATGAAAATCGTTGGAGCCGTTTCCCGGATTCAGATTATATTATATATAGACATATATACAAGAATTGCTCGTTTAAAGGTATATAAGATTTTGTCAGTATTTCGGGCAGAGCTGCATATTTTTATTTCGTTTTGGTCGTAAATCAAGTGATTGTAAAATAAATTAACTTGCCAATGCTCGGACTATTCCGGTTCAGTCTCATAGCAGGACTTGAAGATTGACTTTCACTGCTCGCATGGGTAATTTTAACTCAGTCTTTCAAATATACCTTACTGTTTATTTGGATACTGCGTCTGTTTAAAGACAATATATAGATAGATCGGAAATCTAAAAAAAAAAACTAATATTAAAAAAAAAAAAACTAATATTTAAAAAAAAAAAAAGACATGCCCGCTGAGTTTCTTGCCAATTCTTCTCAGGACGGAGGCTAGTTCTTGTGAATTGGCGGTAATTCTTTTGACGTTCAACAAGTATGTACTTTCATTTAGGTATGTTGAATAAAATTTTTTGATTTGATTTGATTTGATAAAGGCTATTTAATAATTGTAATATGGGTAATTACTGGTGGTAGGACTTTTGCTTCAAGTCTGTTAGCTTACTCGGCGTGTTCTCTAGCATAGGTCCTCTTCTTTAAGATGTCAAGTATGAATAACGTGTGTTCGATGATAGAATAATGTGGCATAATAAGAAAACAAAATTAATAAATTTGGTGTTGTAATTGTTAAGTCGGATTGGGAGTTTATGTTATATATACTATTCGGTCTATTTACGTGTACTAGTTGCGATGAACCAAACAGTCCATATACCAAAAGTAACTGGTGGTTTTACTGGTGGTAGGACCTCTTGTGAGTCCGCGCGGGTAGGTAACACCACCTCGCCTATTTCTGCCGTGAAGCAGCAATGCGTTTCGGTTTGAAGGGTGGGGCAGCCGTTGTAACTATACTTGAGACCTTAGAACTTATATCTCAAGGTGGGTGGCGCATTTACGTTGTGGATGTCTATGGGCTCCAGTAACCACTTAACACCAGGTGGGCTATGAACTCTTCCACCTTTCTAAGCAATAAAAAAATAATTCAAAAACTGACCACTAGAATAATTATCGATTTGAATTACAAGTTTGAACATTAAAATGGTCCTATTGTCAAAAACTCAACTTCAGATTTCGCCAAGGATACACTATAGATAAATAATATTTAAAAACAAACAATATTAATCTATTCTCAATTCGACCACAGACTTTAAATAATAAACAAAAGACTATATATGCGTATGTGTGTCAAATACATGGTAGAGTGTGTGTAGTGTTTCTTTTATTGATTAAATGCATTTTATGCATCATTTAAAAAAAAAATCATTCTGCACTCCTTCACTATATTCCCTATAAGTGTGGAAAATTTCATACTCCTCCGTGCTCGCAATTTCCGTAAAAAGCGGTACAAAGTTTTTGCTTCACGTATAACTGGGAACAAATCACGCATGATCATCCGATCCCAAACAATAATTCTGATTTATGGGGCACCAGAGGCTGACATACATACGTTATATACGTTTAAATACATACATATATAGACAGTAAACACCCAGACAAAGAGTAAATAAAAATGTTCATCACACGAATGTTTGTTCGATGTGGGAATGGAACCCACGACCCTGGGCGCAAAAGTCCGGGCCGATAACTACTGGACCACCGAGTCAGTCCTGTTAATTCCTAAATGCGAACGTTTGTCAGGATGGCTGGATTGATTTTTCACGGCAAAACTATCGGACAGATTTTGATAAAACTTTTTAAAAACCTTACAATCAGAATAACACATGGGGTATAATAAAATAAGATCCGTATGCGACAGATGCCGCGCAAGTGCTCTCAAGATACTGACGTTTTTCATCGCATTCGCGATAGTCACAGCAAAACGTGACCGGGTTCCGTAAGTACTGAACAACTTTATTTATTATTTGCATTTTGTGACGGCATGTGTGCACGTACCAATCGGCTTTGGAATGAGCTCCCCTCCACGGTGTTTCCCGAGCGCTATGACATGTGCTTCTTCAAACGAGGCTGGTAGAGAGTACTTAACGGTAGACAGCGGCTTGGCTCTGTCCCCTGGCATTACTGAAGTCCATGGGGGACAGTAACAACTGACCATCAGTTGGGCTGTACGCTCGTCTGCCTACTAGGGCAATACAAAAATAAAAACATAACATAAAGCCGTAAGGTTTTGGTATTTGGGTCAGATTTTCGTTGATAATAACAAGACGTCTTTTTATAAGAAGAAACAACTAGTCTAATCCCTTTTCTACTGAATCCACAACCGAATCACATAGAATCGTCAATAAAATACCAAATTTTGAATATTTTTTATTTACTGTAAATAGGTTAATAATGATAAACAGGTTTATTACTGATGTATTCAAATAAGGCACACATAATTTACCGATGGTAGGACGTCTTATGAGTCCACACGGGTAAGTACCACCGCCCTGCCTATCTCTGCCGTGAAGCAGTAATGCGTTTTGGGTTTAAATGATAGGGTAGCTGCGGTACTGTAAAAACTGAGACTTGGATTTATTTCTAATTCGATGCGTGTATGTTTTATTATAGACTTCGAAAGGGCTGAAGCTATATCGATGGGACATTGAGGATGTCTTCAGACTGACTTTAAAGTTGGTGGCGGTATTTAAGCTGAAGATGTCTATGGGTTTTACGATTTCTTTTAGAACGTGCCAGATAGGAGATTCTTTGAAAGACATAGTTTATTTGTGTTCATTGAGGCGAATGTGAAGTTTTAAGCAATTATAAATGAAAGTAAAATTTATGCCGTAGTAATGACGACAGATGAAAAGCGTCTTGAGAGTTATAAGCAGAGTTTTTAGCAGTAGGTAGTGGCGTGTCCTTGTCATTGTTAATGTCCATGAGTGACGGTAGCTACTCAGCTTCAGCTACGCCGTATGTTCGTCTGCTTGTAATAGCGATAAAAGTATGAAGCGCAATGATCTGCATCTTCTTTGTCTCCACCTTATCCCACTAGGTGGGGTCGACACAGCGAATTTTTCTATTCCATTGTCCTCTGTCGGAAGTCATCTCAACACTCACTCCTCTTTCTTTTGTATCGTCATTCACAAATTAAAATAAATCAAAAAAAAATTATTCCACATAAATCAAAGTACATACTTGTTGAACGTCAAAAAGAACTACCGCCAATTCACAAGAACTAGCCTCCGTCCTGAGAAGAACTGGCAAGAAACTCAGCGGGCATGTCTTTTTTTTTAATATTAGTTTTTTTTTACAATGAGTATTATAACGTAACAATTACTGCAATATTGAAATGCCTGGAGCGAGCAACTCACTCCACCCATGTCTTCTTCGGTCGACCTCTTCCCCCTCTATGATTTGTATGTTATGCATTTACGTTGTAGATGTCTATGGGCTCCGGTAATCACTTCACACCAGCTGGGCTGTGAGTTTGTCCACCCATAAAAGCAATGAAAAAAAAAAACAAAATTTGTCTTAAACAAAAATCAGATATTCGAAAAATAACAACTCAAAAATACAGTCATTATTTTAATATACATTCCCGAAATCATCGAAACGAAGTGTACGCAGCAGCTCTGTATAAATCCGCGACACCTTTCTACGCGCCCGACACTCACTTCCGGGCCACTATAAAAATGTAAGTGCATCAACGGCATGGCATCATTGCAATTCTGCCGACGCCGACAACACACAAGTCGAACATGAAGATATTCGTGAGTACACATGAGTAATTNTATTTTAATATACATTCCCGAAATCATCGAAACGAAGTGTACGCAGCAGCTCTGTATAAATCCGCGACACCTTTCTACGCGCCCGACACTCACTTCCGGGCCACTATAAAAATGTAAGTGCATCAACGGCATGGCATCATTGCAATTCTGCCGACGCCGACAACACACAAGTCGAACATGAAGATATTCGTGAGTACACATGAGTAATTCATTATATTATCGCTTCACAAATATCGCGTAGCAATTATTAAGTCAGAGCTTTTGATCTTATTAGACAATAAATGATCTGAACGTCATGATCCGTGCCTTTGGTGTCACACCGGAATTCGATTTTAGGGCGGAATTTGTATATTTTAGTAGGTAGGCAGCGGCTTGGCTCTGCCCCTGGCATTGCTGAAGTCCATGAGCGACGGTAACCACTCACCATCAGGTGGGCCGTATGTTCGCCTGCCTACGTGGGCAATAAAAAAATTTTTTTTTTTTTCGAAATCTGCACTAATGGGCTTCAATACTAGTTACAGACTATCATATTTTTAGTACTCATAAGATAATGTATATATTCCTTGCCTCTAATCACTGGTACTGATATGTATCGCATTATTTCAATCCATTCATACAATTCAAAGCCGAAAAACCAGAGTAAGTTGGCATACATATCAAATATTCAAGCATTCACAAATTTTCAACAAACAACAAATATAAATAAAAGGCCATGGGTTTTAAAGGATTTAAAGCATTTACTTGTTCTTTTGACGAATTAATATTAGATAATTTTAATAATTATTAAAATTGAAAGCAGGAAGTGCGAACTAAGATGAATATTGACTATGATTACTAAGAGATAATATTTGGCCTAACTAACCTGTAAGGCGGATACCAAAGCTGCTAAATCAACTTGTTTTAGTTTGAGCGCGTTTTGTACAATCTTATCACTTTCCCTATCTCTCTCTGATGTGTGCTTTAAAAAAGGATGCAAGAATAAAATAGCGTTGTTTAATATTGTATCGCCTAGGGCAGTGCCGGGCGCGGTGACGTATTGAAACGAAAAGTTTTATCAAAAACAATATATGGGTTTGGTCTTTTATTCTATTTGTATTACAAAATACAGTATTAACATCGCAAGAAGTCGCTTGGATCACTGATAATAATATAATGTACGCTCTTCATAATTCATTGTTATATTCTGAAGTACACTACATCTAAATGTGTTTAGCGTCATCATTTCCAAAGCTGAGTATTAATTTCAATTAAATGTCAATAAAAATCGAAAATAAAATATGTAACTTGTGTCGACGATTGTACGCCTATAGATTACCATTGTTTTGTGTACAGTTAAACGCAAATTATGAATATTATTTATTTTAGTTTCTCGCGATGCTTATACTCAATTATGATTACTTTTACTGTTTAAATTTTGAGGTTTTTTTTTCTGTCGTTAAATTATTTTCCGACTTTGTCTTTAGAAACTTTAAAGTTGTCCTGGTAACGTGATTTCGTGATCGAATAAAATATTTTATTTATTTATTTATGATTAACATAGAAGTAGAACACAATCATATTTTGCATCTGCGCTTGAACTAGCTGATAAAACCTGTATCTCAACCAGCAGTGCTCCTCGTACAAAAAATATGTACCTACTATGAATGTGATGTTTGGCTAATATTGCGGCTTCAAAAATATTTAAACAAGCTTTCTAGTCAGTAATGAAATTGAATTGGGAGGTGTAGTAGATACGATTAGATACGCGGGTAGTTTTATTTTTTATTGCACTTGTAGGCAGACGAGCATACGGCCCACCTGATGGTGAGTGGTTACCGTCGCCCATGGACTTCACCAATGCCAGGGGCGGAGGCAAACCGCTGCTTACATTACCAGTCATTTCGGTTTCTGTTCCCTGTTCATGATGGGCCGTAAGATAATTAGTTTGTCTACACGACTTAATGCTTTCACGTATGCAATATGAGCTATACAATAATCAGCTGTATACAGCTATCAAATAACTCAAGACTTGATAATAGTAAAAGTGTAAATTAATCCTTAGTAACAATTAGAAGTGACTTCTCGAATTTCAATGTAATTAAATCTTTCATTTAAAATCCATCAGCCACTTCTAATTGTTTTATAGTTTATTTGATATTGATAGATTAGATACGGGTTAGTCTAGGTCATACGGCTTCGCGTTTAGTATTTCATTCATTCATTCATGGTACCAAGCCGGTTTCGGCAACGAAGACCAAAATTTTCAGTTCAATAACTTAAAAGCTAATGTCCGCGCCTCTCATGCGCTCTAATATGGCTATGGTATCTTGTTCTTAAACGTGCGCAAACAGAAGCTACACTAAGCGTGTAGTAGAAAGGAATCCACAACCGTAAGTGAGACCTAGAACGGTGATCACTCATCATTAAACGGGCCGTATACTCGATCGACTTCGAAGTCAACAACTAATGCTCCCGTCTCTGGGCGAGATCTCCCTATAACATACAGACGGTTGAGCTTCGGGTTACAGATGATCCCGATCCTCGCGGATTGCTTGGTGTCTATGTGGTCTGTGGGCTCCCATCAACTTACTGATGGTAGGATCTCTTGTGAATCCGCGCGGGTAGGTACCACCACTCCGCCTATTTCTGCCGTGAAGCAGTAATGCGGTTTGAAGGGTGGGGCAGCTGTCGTAACTATAGAGAGACCTTAGAACTTATATCTCAAGGTGGATGGCGCATTTACGGTTGTAGATGTCTATGGGCTCCAGTAATTAACACCAGGTGGGCTGTCAACTCGTTCAACCATCCAAGCAATAATAATAATAATAAATAATAATAAAAACTCAACATCTGGTCCACTAATGGCGCGCTTGTTCATTTAAGATTACAAAAAACATATTTGACAGAAAATTACCTAATTAAATTTTCAAATGCCTTACAATCTCTCCCGACGTTGCTTCAACCAAGCGATTGTAATGTTACCGTTTCATTATATAAAACTTATTTTTGACATGGTAATGTCAATGGCATAATTCGAGGCATCGGAGCGTTACTTCCGTTTTATATTACAATTCGTTGCGGCTCACTTAACATCGAGAGCGGTTTGAAGCGAATTTTTAATTCATTGACCGAAATCAGAAGTTTTACGGGCTTTGGACGTCATCACGACTTTATTTTTTACTTAGTAAACTAGGTGTGCCTAAATAATAATGAATATTTGTCGCAAATAGATATGTTATTTTAATTGCCTAATAATGTCAAGATCCATCTGGTGATAAGTGGTCACCGAAGCTCATAGACTCATCGCGCTCATCATAAAGTGAATGGAGTCATTCATTCTTGAGTCTCGCGGTCTTTGTCTCAACTGTATAGTAATTATAATTATGGCAATTTTAATTCTGACGGATTTGGTTTTAATAACACGATTCCTTAATTTTGTGGAAGTAATATACGAGCAAGAGCCAACGTATTTTATTAGAAAATTGAGTACGGGTCTGCGGGATTTGAATCCCGGCATAGTCGCATCACTATACGAATGCACCAGGTATCTTACTTAGCCTTCTACGACAACTTCATCTATATATATAAAAATGAATTGCTGTTCGTCAGTCTCGCTAAAACTCGAGAACCGCTGGACCGATTTGGCTAATTTTGGTCTTGAATTATTTGTGGAAGTCCAGAGAAGGTTTAAAAGGTAGATAAATATGAAAATGCTGGGAATTAAATAAAAATAAACAATTTTGTTTTTCCTTTGATGTGTCGCCCGTCGGACAGATTCCTTTTGTTTGTTTTAAGTTTATTTTATACAAAAGCTTAGGTCTTTTATTTATCGATTGAGGCACTACGAAGTCTGCCGGGTCAGCTAGTAAATAAATAAAAACGTGTCTTTATTTAAGCTTATATTAAAAATGTGATTACGTTTCAGCTGTCTACTTAAATTCGAGGACATAATGGTTTCATTTATTTTAAGGCATGTAAGCACAACATCCAGCCTATATCTACCGCGACTCAAGGCACAAGATTTCACATTCTGAAAGAACTCATCATTTAATATCGAACGTTTTTTGAGAACAAAAAAAAAAACAAAAGAAAAAAGTTTCACGTTAACAAGAACTCGCGTCGGAGAGACTGTTACACCGGTCACTCACATTCGCACGAATACGCAAACTCGCAAGTGTAGGACGACATTTGCAAATGATTATGCAAAGTTGTCGCTGCATTCGTGGTTTTCCGAGCTGTGTCGGTTTTTTAACAGACATCAAAGCTCGCGAGCCGCGATCCTTCGCGTAGTCTCCCACACATTCGTGCGACCAGTTGCGCCCGGGATTGCGAAGGCAACGGACGTATCGCCATTTTCATAGATCGTGACGTCTACTGTGTAGCGTATCTTCATCAAAAGAAATCCCATAAAAACAGCATGGCTGTTAACGATGTTTGGGAAAGAATACGAAACTCTTTTTCTCTTCAATGTTCTATAGACGAATTAAAAAGGAGGAGAAATTCGTGAGACATTCGTAAGCAAGTGTGGGAGGAAGCGCAAACGGGTTCGCAAATTGAGCACCGAACCCATTTGCACGGCCGCTAAGTTTGCGAATGAATGTCTGACGGCCCTTCACATGCGCGCAAACGTTCGTACATTGTACGAGTGACCGGTGTTATGCTAATATGATTGTTAACTGAATATATTTAAAGTTACAATTTGATGTTTAATGTCTTTAAACATGACTCATATGAACACGAGGTACATCAGCTACGTATATATTATTAAGTGAATGTTACAAAATTTACATCAACAATTGCTAATTTTTTTTTAGAAAGGTATCGTGACGAATTGAACATTAAGTTTAAAGCCAGTGGATCGATGCTATGTTTTATTGCTGCCACTGAATATAATAATATTAATAAAACATTGGCCGAAATTACCGGTGCGCTTAGATTGTACTATTCTAGAAAGATTTTATGTTGGGAGTGTCTATATGTGTATAATACTGTCGATAGAGATCGATAACATCAATTGTTCATCATTATTCAGAGGCGACCTTGAGCTCTCTTGAGCATACGAAGCCCAAACACGAATAGTACTTGAGTAATTTATCGGCGAATTAAAAACGTAATAATTATACTAAAACTTTTAAAGAGAAATATTATGTATACGGGGTGTTATCATATAGCTATAGTAACACTGACGTAACAATAATATGACACTATAGTAACATGTTTTGAAATGCATTTTTAAAGAAATGTATCGACTTTCTTCATTAGATTCAATCATCTTGACGGTACGAAAAATATATATTTTTTTTTTATTGCCCTTGTAGGCAGACGAGCATACGGCCGACCTGATGGTGAGTGTTTACCGTCGCCCATGGACTTCAGCAATGCCAGGGGCAGAGCCAAGCCGCTGCCTACCGCTAAATACTCTCCACAAGCCTCTTTTAAAGAAGGACATGTCAATAAAAATCACACATTTTCCTAATTTGAATTTGGAATTATCTTCTTATTAAAATCGAAACTTTTAATGCTACCAAAAGCAGCCAGATACAAATAGTATAGCCAAAGAGATTTTATGACAAGTTCATTCATACTATAATGCGAAAAGACTTTTTCCCCAACCTATTGTAATGGTCACGGGAAACAATGGACGTAGTAAAGTAAATACAGTCTCCACTTTGAGACATGATATGGGAATCTCAATTGTATTGGCAATGTTAGTCCCGAATCGATAATCGATCGCGTAAAATCTAACTCAGATTTGTATGGAGTTTAGAACAGTTTCCCTTCGTTTGCCGCCAGGGGCGCTGTTCCAACTCCATACAAATTTGAGTTAACTTTTACGCTATCGAGACCGTTAAAAAACTCGCACTAAGAATACTAATCGTTAAATTCTACATAACTTATTTTTACATATTATTTTGATTAATTTAATGCTCTAAAAATCCATATGACTCGGTGGTTCAGTAGTTAAGGGCCCTGACTGTTGGGCCGAAGGTCGTGGGTTCGATTCCCACGTCGAACTAACATTCGTGTGATAAACAAGTTTGTTTGCTCTTTTGTGGGTGCTTATTATCTATATATGTATATATTTCAATGTATTTAAGTATATAAGTCAGTCTCTAGTACATAAGATAACACAGGGAATCGTAATTTAAGGCCGGAGGATCGTGCATGATTTGTTCCCAGTTTATTATTATTTATGTACTATTATATGAGTTCAGTGGTTTACCATAATTACTGACAGCCTTAAAGAAGCATAAAACCACCTAGCTACCTGTAAATTATTGTGTCACACGATAAAGATCATTTACACCTTTCTCCAAGGAAGCCTCTGGGAAGCGAATTTCAAGTCCTTTCTCTTCGATTATCGACCTTAAGACGTCTGAATAAGGATCATCCACACATAAGTACCTGTGGTTTGTGGTCGCGCGTAATTCAAGCTAAACTGACATCTATGTCTTGTCGGTTAAGGGCTAATAATTACGCGTAATTACTGCATACAACATACGTGAATAAGTGTTTTGTGTTTCTTAACCGACTTCAACGAAGAGAACTGTATATTTTAACACGCTTTTATTAGTTTGGTCCGTGTTTATTTGTCGAACGGGCTATTTGTATGTAATTTTCACTGATTTCAAGATGTCGGATTGATTTGGAAATCTGCACACGTTTCAAGGGCCGCCCAACAGTATAATAATTGCATAATTTTGAACCAATATCCCGATATCTAAATCGTTATTTCAATATAACCGTACAATTGCGTTGAAAAGTGCTATTAAAACGTCATTTAAACGAGCACGCAGCTCATCTGATGGAAAAGAAGCGTATCTGATTTTTCTTTAGCGTGATGACGTCACTTACGGACGGAGCCCATAGAAATCTACGACGTAAATGCCGCCACTCACCTTGAGATGAGGTCTAAGGTCTCAGTATGGTTACAACGGCTGCCCTACCTTTCAAACCGAAACGCATTACTGCTTCCCGGCAGAAATAGTCAGGGTGGTGGTACCTACGCGTGCGAACTCACAAGACGTCCTACCAGCAGTAATTACCCAAATTATAATTTTGCGGGTTTTGATTTTTATTACACGATGTTATTCCTTCACCGCGGAAGTCAATCATGAACATTTGTTAAGTACGTATTTCATTAGAAAAATTGGTACCCGCCTGTGGGATTCGAACATCGCTCAACACGAATGCACCGGACGTCTTAACCTTTAGGCCACGTCATATCAGTAATGCGTTGCAAACAATAGTTACGTAACCTTGGACAATAGATGGCGACTATTCCAGGTCATTCACATTATGTCAGCCGTGACCTAGCACCGGTTATGTCATTTCCGGAATTCGCAACACGAAATCTAATTTTCTTAAATAGTTGATCTAATATTTTGAAGTGGCACGTCTGATGCGTTCTGTTTATTTTTGGCGCGAAGCAGTGATGTGTTTTGATTTAAAATGTCTCTTATTACACAAGATGAGTCAGCGAGTTCATGACCCACTAAGTTTCATTTGGTCACTTTGATGCATTTAGTCGATGACTTAATTGTTGTTCCTTCAAGCCGGATTACTACTTCGTGGCCATATTCGACGGGACGGTGATGGTAAAAGCTTACATCTGCAACACGTGATGACGTCTTAGATTGGAAGTAAATCGCAACCGGTTAGCGGTTTTGTTAACGTTCGACTAACATTAAAAGATAATGGTAAAATTCAAACATTCACTTGCGTTCACTTTTGTTAATAAAACAGTTTGCAGTATATTCAAGTCATGTTAAGGCAAGAGCCAAGCAATTCAGCGTCTATAAGCAGGATAGTGGTAGCAATCCGTGCCTATTCACACTAGGCCCCTTTTGTTGTGAGTCTATTAAGGTAAATTCCGTGAATCCTTTTGGGCTTTCGCTGTGTGATGTTCATAGGCCTATTGAAAACCTATGGTAACCTTATTTCACATTGTAAATAAAGGTATACCTCCTGCAGACTTAGCTTAGTTCTAGAAAATTTAGTTTCATTTTTATAGAGAACAAACAGTCAGGTAGTACTGGTAACAAAACAAAACCGGTCAACTCGAGTGAATGTCGGAACGTCTGAAAATAGTCCAACAGAAGTATCACTAAGTAATTGGCAATTTGCTGGGCAATCTCAATTGTATTGTACAAGCGATTACGAGAGCGGTGCCGTCAGGATAATTTTTTTTGTGTGTTTTTTCTTGTTTTACCTTTCGTATTTTGAAAGTAGATTTAAGAAGCGACAATGAGTTGACACTTAATGTGTCGTCTGCATAGTCCGTATTTACGTATAAAGAAGTGTTTGTTCGCGTTGAATAGACGATATTTTGGGGCACTGTTAACCGACTTCAAAAAATGCGGAGGTTTTCGATTCAATCCTTTTTTTGTTGCGTCAACCATTTTTTTATTTGCACCGAATTTGGTGTGTTTTTTTTTCTTTGAAAGCTGACCCTTTTCATGTCGTCCCATTTTGTCACAATTTTATAAAGATATCAGCAAGCGGTTTTGGGGCTATTATTAATAATGCATATTTAGACATCTTCATCCACCACATTTAAAGATTCGTAGATTTATTTACAGAATTAATGCGGTATAAATGCCGTATTCTCAAAAATTTAACATTAAAGTTTTTTTTCTTCTTTCTAGATTTGTTTGCTACTGGCAGTTGCCACTTGCAAGGCTGGGTTCGAAGGTGGATACTCCAACGAAGTTGCTGGAGATGAGCATAACGGGGGTCAAAATTTCGCATACGGCGGCCAAGACTTTTCAGGAGGCCAGGGACACACAATAGCCTTAACACAGGAAGGAGGAGGTCATGACTTTTCTGAAGCTCAAGCTTTGGGTGGTCATAATCTGGGACCTCAGATCTTTGGACATGGCGCACCCAGCGGTGGAGACTTTGGCGGTGACACGTACCTTCAAGNTGAGCAGGGCCATAACGGGGGTCAAAATTTCGCATACGGCGGCCAAGACTTTTCAGGAGGCCAGGGACACACAATAGCCTTAACACAGGAAGGAGGAGGTCATGACTTTTCTGAAGCTCAAGCTTTGGGTGGTCATAATCTGGGACCTCAGATCTTTGGACATGGCGCACCCAGCGGTGGAGACTTTGGCGGTGACACGTACCTTCAAGCAGCACACGATTCAGGACACCAATTGGGTCAAGGCGATTTCGGCGGTCACAATTTTGGCGGTCAAGGGGGTTTCTCCCACGGTGGTGATGCAAGCGCGTACGCTGGTGATGCGGGCGGTCACGGTGATTTCAGCAGCCAAGACGGGGACGGCGGTCACGGATACGGCGGCCAAATCCAGACGTTTACTCTTCAAGATGGAGGGCATGATTACGGCCATGGCGGCGATTATGGCGGTCACGTGGAAGCCATTCCCGTGGGAGAGCATACAGATATCCAAAGCCCGGTCCAAGTACCCCTTTACAAGCACGTCACTTTCCCAGTTCACAAGCCTATCCACATTAACGTGCCCAAACCAATTTTAGTCGGAGTACCCCAACCTTATCCAGTCAAAATACCCGTGAACAAGCCCGTCGCTGTGCCAGTTGAGACCGAAATCTCTATTCCAATAGAAAAGGTTGTACCCTACCCAGTCGTGAAGCATATACCGTATCCTGTAGAGAAACACGTGCCCATCAAAGTCGAAAAGACCGTAACGGTACACGTACCCCAGCCTTACCCAGTTAAGATTCCTGTGTACAAAACCATCCATCACAAAGGCCACTAAGCCGTTGGATGTTCCCTTATGTGCCTTGTAAATATTTGTTGATTAATTTTAAGTCATTTTCAACTGTCCGTCATGTTGTAGTTGATTTATTTATTGTAAATAATTTGTTGTTGTTGTTATATCTGTTTGTTTCTGTTTGTTGTTATAAATGATTTTGTTGAAACCCTTTTCTATTCTTTTTTGTATCCTTTGCAGCAGTCTGTTATTTGTTGTAAGCTTTTGGGTAAGAGCTTAAAGTAGGAAATGGTGGTATTCAGCTACGCTGTTACTTATAAAATGTCCTATCGGTCATAACCAAGAAAAACCAAAGGTTGCGCGACATCACCATCCTATTGTGGCAATTGTCCATGACATACATACATACTAGCATACGTATGAATCTAATAAGAGCGTAATAAAAAGAAAATCGGGGATATTCGACAAATAATGGTGCTGGAATTACAAGCATAAAATTACATTTAATCTCTTTTACGAGGAGATTCAGGCAAACCGTTGTTAACGCAGAAAGCAGAGAAAAAACTAACTAACATATAGCGCTTTTTGAAACTGCCATAAAAAGCTCTGGAATGGGGTACGTCCCTGAAACTTGAAGGCAAATTACTTCGACCAAACTGTACGGCATTTGGGGCAGAATTTTAACTATGTTTGTTGGTGCTTTTATCCTCATTCGAGCTTTGCGTAAATGTTGTGTTTGAGGCGCTTATTTTGATTCGCAGTTTTATTTGTACTAGTGGTCCACCAGTGGTGGAAATTCGACTATAATTAATTGAAATTATAAGTTTGAAAATTATAATCGGTCTCCTTGTCAAAGAGTATTTATTATACTAGATAATCACAGATTTAGCCAAGACTACATACACTATAGACAAATAATATTAAAGAAAAATAATATTAATCTATTCTAACTTTGGCCACATAGTTTTTATTTTTTATTTTTTTTATTGCTTAGATGGGTTGACGAGCTCACAGCCCACCTGGTGTTAGGTGGTTAGTGGAGCCCATGGACATCTACAACGTAAATGCACCACCCACCTCGATTGTAACTATACTGAGTTCTAAGATCTCAGTATAGTTACAATGGCTGCCCCACCCTTCAAACCGAAACGCATTACTGCTTCACGGCAGAAATAGGCAGGGTGGTGGTTCCTACCCGTGCGGACTCACAATAGGTCCTACTACCACTAAAGTTCAAACACCAGTTTAAACAATAACAAAAATTTGACAATAAACAAACAGTAAAAAGTAAAAGTAAGTAAAAAAACATAATAATATGTGTTGTCTCAAATATATGGGTAGTGAATGTAATGTTTTTTTTATTGATTTACAGTTTTTTTTTTGCATAATAAAAAAATATTAACATTCTTCACTCTTTTTCTATATTCTCTACAAGTGTGATGACTTTAATTTCGGTTGAATTCAAATTGGCAGACGACATAGGGACGGACTCAAATTGCAAATAGCAAAAAAGATGCAAAAGGATTAGGAAATGATTTATGCCAACAAGGCAGGCGAGATTGCGAGAATATTGGAGAGGGCCTAAGGATGTTGGTTATAGCAACTCTGGCTTCGGGATTGCTATATGTTGTAATAAATAGCTGGTGCATTCTGAACGGAACTAAAATAAACATGATTCAAGACAAGCTATCAATATTGTTGTGCCTTTTTTTCCCTACCTAATTTCTATCAGTCTTGACCCAAGACTACCAGTCTTGAGAGACTATTTCAGCATAACGTTAACTAGTAGGTGAGCTCGCGGGGCTCAAACGGGGAGTGTTGCTAACACTGGCCCTAGCAAGAGCAGTGTTTCCAGAATCTACCATCGGATCGGAAAAGCGTCCCACTGAGAAAATCCGCCGAGAAACTCAGTGGGCTGTGTCTATGGGTTAATTGTTATGCCTTACATAGTAATCTAACCAACCGTCTTTCCTGGGTGGTACATGTCCTTCTTCTAATATTATGGTTTGAACCGCAGTCGGAAAATTACTGTAGGCTATTGATGTCTAATTATTCAGACTACGTAATGAAAGCGAACACAATTTTTTTTTAAGATCTTTTAATTTTAACTATATCTTTGTAAGTACGTAGAAGCCTCCATAAATACAATATAATGTAACTCAAAATCGTTAGTGTTATAAGAACACTAATGAGTAATACTGAAACTAATTCCAATTCCAAGTATTGTGGCCAGGAGATATTGGCGCCGGCAGCTCGGAGATGTTTGGCTCCTCCGTGACGCAGCACGTGCTCCGTCCACCATACAGCGCGCTCCAACGAGCTCTGAGGCTGGTCGTACATCTGGCTCCGGAGACGAGCTATGTTCTGACGATAGCTGGAACATAAATTATGCATATTTTGGTATTATCTAGGAAAATCTACACTTTAACACAATTAGTTTCCAGTAATAAGTATGTAAATACTATATACGTATTTAATTTGATTAGACACATACCTAAAGGTCAACGGGCTTAGGGCCCATTTGATGTTGTACAAAAGTACCGGAATGGAGACCTTGTACTTGACGTTGTAACGTGGGCAAACAGCCAATGAAGTGGATCGATGACCTGGTCCAAATAGCTGGTAGGGACTGGATGCAAAAAGCAAGAGACCGAATAGAATGGGGTCCATATGAAGAGACCTACATTCAGTATTGGGTGGGCACGGGTTGAAGAAGAAGATGAAGTTGCTGATAAATATCATAATTTCAATATTATGTCTCAGTTTGAGAGATTAGGTCGAAATGTCAATTGTACTTTTCAACGGCCGACCCACCTTTGAAATTGGAACGCGTAATAGTGTCTGGGCATAGCTAGATAGGACTACGGTACCTTCTCGTGTAGGTTAAATATCCACTCACACACGGATTTCCCTCCGAATTAGGAGGAAGAATCTCACAACCCCGATCACCTTCTTCGGCCAGTCCATGCCCTGGGAGAGGAAGGTCAAGCACCTGGGTGTCGCCCAGGATGCATCTATGACATTTCGCCCATATATAAAATCAGTCCACAACCATGCCACGTTTATTCTCGGCAGACACTACCTCATGATCTGTAAGCGGAGTACAATGTCCCTTCGGAACAAGGTAACACTTTACAAAACTTGCATAAGTCCGTCATAACTTACGCGAGTGTGGTGCTCGTTCATGCGGCCCGCACACACGCAGACACCTTCTAATCTCTAATCCCTACAATTCCGTTTTTGCAGGTTAGCCGTCAGAATTTTGGGGTTCGTGAGGAACGTGGACTTACATGACGACCTGGGGCTTGAATCAATTCGAAAACACATGAAGTCAACGTCAGAACGTTACTTCGATAAGACAATGCGTCATGATAATAAGCTTATCGTTGCTGCGGCTGACTACTCCCCGAATCCTGATTACGCAGAAGCCAGTTACCGTCGACGCCTCGACACGTCTTTACGGATCCATTAGATCCAATAGCCTTTCCATTAGACGCCTTCAGTACTCGTCGCACTTGGCAAAGAGTTCGACGAGCAACCTAACCCATGCATCAGCCCGCTGAGTTTCTCGCTGGATCTTCCCAGTGGGTTGTGACTCCGATCTGGTAGAGATTCATTAGCGAAACAGCTGCTCTTGAGTTGTTAGATATCCTTCTGAGGCGCTCGGTCAACTCTTAGCTATTCTCACCCCTCCTAGCCGAGCCGTTGCTCACCCACCTGTCCTGGTGAAACTGGAAAGGCCTCCGGGCCACCCGTAATCTTTCAATCATAAAAAAGCCTAAATATCCAAATCCACACAATGCTTACAAAGATGATGATGATGATAACTCATAAGTAGATATGAGTTATGATTATAAGATAACTCCGAGCTTAGTGTGTTATTATGACGTCAGAACAACACTCAGTAATAACATGATATTTTATTTAATTAACAGTGAATTAGCATATTTTTCTATTAATTACCGGAAAAACAATTTTAACTTTGCAATCTTTAGTTTTGAGGTTCAGAACTGGTTTTCATTGGCCCCGCTGCCCTGACTAATTGTGCACTGGAAATATGTTGCGATTAGCAGTTTTTTCCTTCCAATAAAATCTTCGGCAACGCAAGAAAATGGATTATGTAGTTTATAAAAAAAAGCTTCTACCTTTCATTATCGATGATCTCTTCAATATTATTCCGGAGTCTCTCTGCAGAAAGCTCATCCAGCTCAAGTCTTAATCCGATTTTATGAATCAAGTACATCTCCACGTTGTACCACTGGTCGCCCAACATCGGCATCCCAATTAGGGGTACTCCCGCAGTGATCGCTTCTTCTGTTGACTGCAGACCACCTTGGGTAATGAAAACTTTGATCTTTGGATGCCCTGAAAATGTATTTACTTTAAAATCTCCAAGTCGCTAGCCATGAGGTGTGAGGTGCGAGAAGCGATGATTGCAATGCAATTATAAATTAGAAAATTAGATAATAAGAATTAAACTACAAATTCTGGTATTATATTTTTGGCTATTTGCTACTGTGACTTCTGTATGCATTAATAGTTGCAACTAGACGAAAAGACACGACGATGAGGTAGGTTGAAGAAAATCTAATCTGTCTTGGATCTGGCGACGTACAGAAAAGGACAGTCGTATTTTTGAAGTTTTTAACCATACGCACTAAGCAGATCAGATTGTGGCAGCCACTTTGAAATCCTGATGTTTTTCGACTTTCCCGGCAGCTCATCTTTATCCCACTTCCACAGCACATCGTAGGGCAGTTGGGAGAACACTTTAATCAGGATTTGGATTCGTTCTGGCGGCAACAGTGAAGGTACCACGTTCGTCCCAAAACTGATGTAAATTACCCCGTGTTTGGATGAATCTAAATAGGTTTTAAGATCCTGCGAATAAAAGCAATCCCAGTTTCGATTTTATTATCGTTTTATATAAAGACGGCTATGTGATACATGAGATAATGAAAATAGTTCAAAGTTACACGATTACATTTATTTGTTTTATCAGCAGTTTCTTTCCGCTAACTATTCGGTGATAGCCTAAGGGATTATTTTATCTACGCGCAGACATGTAGGTGAGCTTACGAGCTGAGAGAATTTGCTAACACTAGCCCTAGCAAAAGCAAAAATTTGCCACCGGATCGGAATCGCCACGGAGTCGGCGAGAAACTCAGTGGCTTGTGTCTATGGATTAGTTCGCTCGTCAAACTCTTTTTCGTAATCAACGAGGACAGAGACCGGTCCTTGAAGAGCCCAGAAACACCGAGTGTGGATCCGGGCGTCCGACAAGATGCGACGGCAAATTTGGTTGACCAAATTCATTTACCTCTATAAATGTAACGTAACGGAATGAAATGTTCTCTGGTTTGCCCATCAATATAATATGAAATCTTTTAAGAATCCTTAACTTTTATAAGTTAAGGATTCTTCTTCTTGTGTTATCACAATATAATAAAAGAAACGAATCAGACAGCAAACGAAGATTAGTTTCTTTAGTGTTCGTAGTTTTTGATCCTTTATTTTGATGATTACATTTTAAAACTCACCGAAGGCAATTCCTGTTGTGGCTTCTGATGGATTCCTCCAACGTAAATAAGATTCGGTGGAACCGGACGATTCTGTTCCCAAATCGAATGTGCATTCAATAGTATCAAGCTGATTCTATCCGCCATTTCGCTTAGATTTGGGACATTGGAGCTAAAGACGCTCTTAACCAGCTCATTCTCTTTCTTGTCGTACTCTTTCCACATGCGTTCAAAGGTATAATGATTGTGCATTTCACTTAACTTTTCCCAAAACGATAGATTGTAAAGTTTTTGCCGCGTCACAATTGGATACAGCAATGGATGGGTTGCGGCTCCAACTGTGTCATAAATATCTCCAATGCCGCCCAAGGAACTTATGATTACAGCGGGTGCATTGAACACGTGACAAAGTATTCTGGCCGGTCTCATCATGGCTTCTAGAATTAGCAAATCGAACTTTTTTTCGCTTTTTAGTATAGCTTGGAACTCATCGGTCAATAATTGTTGGGAAAAAATATCATACAGTACATCCATTGCTACTCTAGATTGTTCGAAGATATCTTGACGTTTTCCTCTTGATGTTTCAAGGAAGCCTTTTTTCCAAATTTGGTAAGATATGTCATGGACATCTATTTCTGTGTAGTTTTCTGGAGATTTCCCTTTAGCGAAGACAGGGTTTGGGGTGAGGACGACTAGCTCGTGGCCTCGTTTTGCTAGCTCTAATGTTAAAGGTCGGAAAGCCACTTGGTGGCTGATTGAGGGCACCGGAAAAACGCCCAAAATCCGTGCCGCTTCTTTCCCGTCAGTTAAAATTAAAGCAAGTAATATATAAAACTTCATTTCTATGTTCTACGCGTTGAGTAAATCGATAAAATATATAAATACATTCCAGTTTAAGAAACGCCTTTATATAGAATTTTCGTCGTTCAAAGATATGTTGTAACTCCAGATGCAGACGCAAAGCGCTTTACGCTAGACAGCTAGTTCCGCATCGAAGATATCGATTGTCTAATTGCTTAAAGACTATTAGATTTCTTTGCTATGTCTTGTTCTTCTTGTTACATGAGGTAAACTTGTTTGATTTCCTGGGAGTATCAACGTATTCCGCAGGCGATTGCATGCAGCAGAGATGCGAATGTTGCGATGGATGTGTGGAGTAACGAGAATGGATAGAATATGGAATTAATATGTTAGAGAATGGATAGAATATGGAATTAATATGTGAAAGTGGCACCTGTGACAGAGAAGCTGAGAAGTGCGCGTTTTTTGATGGTATGGACATGTGATGAGACGATATGAAAATGAGGTTGATAAGAAAATGTTAACTATGAATGTGGAAGGATATAGAGGAAGAGGTAGACCTAAGAAGAAATGGATGGATAGCGTGAAATGAAAATAAATAATTATAGACGAATCATGCACAGCTCAGTCCCAAATTAGGATTTCCAATTCTTCTACCGAAGATAGATAAACTTACTGATAACCAACTGATAAACTTTTAAATACATACATGATTAATCACTCAAATATAGAGCAAACAAATCTGTTCGTCTCATTAATGTTTGCCCTAATTGGGAATTGAATCCTAAACCTTCGGCCCGAGATATAGGGGGAGGGTGCTGTCTATTGCACAATTGGATCTTACTGATAGACTAATCTGAAAACTACATCGGCTGATCCGAGTCAATGCTTAGTCCAGTTAAAGTCAGTAAAAACATCAATTAAAGCAATCTAAAGCGCTTTAGGATCTGAAATAGATAAGGTGTGCAATGATTTATTTTTTGACGTTTTAGACATCATGCTCTTATCGCAACATTTACGCACTATCTTATAATTCAAACTTATCTAAATATTTGTGAACGTACTTTGCGTGTTCTGTCTGTATTTTTCTTGAATGATATTCTGAAATTTGTTCAAACAAATCGTGCAGTTAGGTAACATACCTAATCCTGCATATTTTGACTACGAAGCATTCATAGGTTTCAGTTTATATAGGAAGGCCATTACACTATCAATTTTTTTTTTATTGCCTAGTTGTGTGGAGGAGCTCACAGGCCACCTGGTGTTAAGTGGTTACTGGAACCCCTAGCCCTCTACAATGTAAATGCGCCACACACCTTGAGATATAAGTTCTAAGGTCTCAGTATAGTTACAACGGCTGCCCCACCCTTCAAACCGAAACGCATTACTGCTTCACGGCATAAATAGGCGGGGCGGTGGTACCTACCCGTGCGAACTCACAAGAGGTCCTACCACCAGTTGGAAAGTTATTGTCTCAAAGTGGCGGCCTTTATGCTGTGAATTCAACAGACTTCGGTATTCACTTGTACCATACTGATTCTGATACATACTGAGACCTTCGAACTTATATCTCGAGGTGGGTGGCAGCATTTGCGTTGTAGATGTCTATGGGCTCCGGTAACCACTTAACACCAGATGGGCTGTGAGCTCGTCCACCTAAGCAATAAAAAAATAAAAAATGTGTGGTGTCCTGGGACACCGAATAGGAACGAAATTCCTTATTATAAAAATATTAATTTTAAGTTCTATTCGAAGTATAAAGAAAATAAATCTGGAGGTTTCGCAACAATCCACGGTCATTCAGTAACGTAGGAACTTATTGTGGTACACTTCATTCGCGGTTGTTTGCATGAGAGTTAGTGTATTATGCACGCTCGAGATCGTGGTCAATGAATGATAAAAATATTGTTATTTTTTTGTACGTTATTACAAAGTTAAATCGTACACTGTGTGCATTACTAATGTGTACGTTATTACAAACTTAAATCGTACACTGTGTGCATTACTTATAAAATCTTACGTTACGGACGTTTTTTCCCGGTTAGGGTACCCCTCCGCATCGTCCCATAGGAACTTTGTTCCAATAATAAAAAAAATCAACCATTGTCATCATAATTTCGAACGCCTAACGTCAGGTACGAGCAATCTATAAAGACGCATCACAGTGCTTGCTAACGATAAACCGAGTAGACTCGTTACTGCGATAGCTGGATAGTTGACTTATACTGAATTAAATCCAAAAGTAATTAGATAGAATATGTGTGTTGCAGAAATCATAACAAGTGACAAAAGAATCAACAAATTTCTAAGTGTAACAAGTTTTGATTTTAATAATTTATTCTCGAAGCTTAAATCTCTGGTGACAAGTCTGTTTGCAGATGAAGCTGGTTTAAATACACTGGGATATAACCTTGGGTAATTCCTTCTCTGGATTCTGATGAATACCTCCAATGTATATAACATTCAGGACAGGACGATTTTCCTCCCAAATCGCGTGTACATTCAGAAGTGCCATCTGCACGTTCTTCTGTGTTTCTCTGACAGTTGGAGTGTTGGGCCGAAAATCCGTTTTACCATTTGATTCTCCTGGGATTCAAACGGCAATACAGATATTCCAAATAGTAATGGGTGTAAATCTCATGGATTTTCTCCGAAAATGTTAAGTTATAAATTCTTTGGTTGAGGGAAGGTGGATGGGTTGGGACACCAATCATTTTCAACACGAATTCTATACCCCCAATGAACTGATGAGGATTGCCGATGCATCAAAGTCCGTCAAAGTTGGTCTACAGACGGACTGTGTAAACGTGTCAGCTCTTCGGCCTATGCACTCTTTAAATTATCCTCCATTTTAAGCACAGACGCCTTACTAACTGCATATCGTGGTGTAGTTGAATTCTGTCTTAGATATGGAATAATTTTCTGGGGAAACTCAACGCAAAAATATCAAGTTTTTAAGGCACTAAAAAGGTGTTTCAGGTTTATGTTTGGATCAGCAATAACCGACAACTGCAGCCCATATTTTGCAAAGAATAAACTTTTTATCCTTCCTTGTCTATATACGTCTATATATGAAGTTGCATCTTTTGTTAAAACTTGTCCCAATAGATTCACCAAGATGTCTAATGTGGCAAATAGAAATCGACTCGATGATAAAATATGTCTTTCAAAATCCAAAACTACTTAAAACTTAAAACTAATAGTTTACTAGGTATGAGCATCAGGATATTTAAAAAACTACCAAAGAAATTCAGAGACCTAGGCGATTTACATTTTAAGAAATAACAAAATGATAAACTTATTAGTGAAAATTACTATCACATAAATGTTTATCTTAGAGACGACATTCAAAATAAATGGATTTTTTAAATTATTTGTTGAGTTATGGATGAATGAAAGATAAATTAGATAATATTATCATGATATATTGCACTGCAGTAAAATTCGCATGTCAAATAATGACAAAGCAACTTTGATGCTTTTAACTTATGTAATAACTCATTTTCACTATGCTTAGCGAATAAATGATTTCTTTTTTTCTTTCAGACGACGGAAGACTACATGGTGACTAATTGAAGGTGTGGGGAACACGCCTAGTATCCGAGCCGCTTGGGCTCCGTGTATAATTGTCACAATAAGCACTATCTTGTTTAAAGAAAACATAATTGTTATCACAAGTAATCTTTGGAACACACCGTTGCCTACCACATCATTCGAGATTTAAATAACACAGAACGGTGATTTTTGTCAATTAAATCGATAAAATTTCCTTATCTTGATAATTGCATCGGATTGTTTCTAAGATATCATATACTAGCTTTTGCCTGCGACTTCGTCTGCGTGAAACAATTACTTTGGGATGACGCTAAATTTAACCCGCTACTTCATTTACGTAGAAAATGAAAATATTTTGGAATAATATAATGTTAAGGAGCTATTTAAGGTACCAAAATTACCCTTGAAAAGATGAGGTTATCAATTCAACCACCAGTTTTAAATCTATTTGAAAATTCATGATCATTATTTTGCTGCGATGTTATGTTAAAACTGCGACATCTTCTAAGATAGTCATTGAAATTAAATTATCAAAAGAGCATTTCGTAGAGTTGTTGGTCTTCTTTGGGGGCGCTCGGTCAGCTGTTAGGAAATCCCACCTTTCCTGGCTGAGCCTTTGCTCGCCCACCTGTCCTGGTGAAACTGGAAAGGCCTCCGGGCCACCAGTAATCCTTCAATCATAAAAAAAAAGAAATTGTGAAGGAGGACGTCATTGTACAAAATTGTACGATCTCTTCTGCCTAAAACGTCTTTACAACTAATTTCTTGGAATCTGAAAGGAAAATTAATTACTTTCATCTCATACTCCTAGCGTTTTAAACTGATTTTTGTGATTCCTCCAACAGACGTGATCTATCTTATATTTTTGGATTTGTATCTTTTTGGATTTCATTCAGTATGAGTCAACTATGCATGTGCAACTATGATGACTACGAGTCTGCTCAGTTTATCGGTAGCAAGCACTGTAGTGCGTGATTTATAGATTGCTCGTACCTGAAGTTAGGCGTTTGGATGAAATGATGACGATAGTTGGCTACTGAAGTCCATAGAGTTCGCCACATAAATGCCGCCGGTTGGAGACAATAAATTTCAAACTGTAATGGCGGTCCCGAACAAATGTCCGACGAACCGTCCCATGTCTTCTTAAATTGGAGATGCAACTGAAGGTCTAAAACACGAACCTATATCTTAAGACATCGCAGTCTAAGAAAATAGAAAAATACTCGGTTCGGCTTGTAGGGCGTTATATTTGCTATAGAAAATAATTGTGAGAGATTAATTGAGAAACTTCAAACTACAGTTTCAAGATGGGCGTGGTTCATCTATGGGTTCCGGTAACCTGTGAGCCGTGAGGTCGTTCATAAGAAAAGAAACATTTAGTCAATTAATAAAAGGCGAATCATCCACTTAAATCTTTTTGCTAGTGATTCTTACGACAACTAAAAGTTCCACATCCAGGGTCTTTGCTCCACCAGTCGGTCCTTATGACCAAGGGGAATATATATTATTAAGGTTATAGAAATCTATTAATAAAATCATCTTGCGACGACAGCACAAGATTTTCAATGTTTTTTTAATTTGTCATAATAATTAAAATACAATTTCATTGACGTCACTAAAGAAGATATTAAAGTTGCAATTAATGCAATCACAATTAGGAAAGTGACTAGTAAAACTGCAATTAAATTTAGTTCAAAATATTCAGTCCAAGATTTCAAGGCTCCTGCGGCTCGGAGATGAGTGGCTCCTCCGTGGCGCAGCACGTGCTCAGTCCACCACACGGCGCGGTCAACTGAGCTCTGGGGCTGATCGTAGACCTGACTACGGAGACGAGCTATATTCTGACGGTAGCTGAAACATTAAGAATCAAAATTATTCTTTTCTAGGTAACATCTACAGTGTGTGTGGTGGTACGGTCCCTAAGATACAAGACATGACATTGCTATAGATGGACATATTTATTCTATACATCTATCAGCTCACAGACATCCATCAATTTTGGAAAAGGTCTATTAACGATAAGATTTCCGTTTATTCATTGATTCATGAGGGAAAAATGTTAACACTGCAAATTTGGTTTTCTGGTATACTACTCAGTAGCAAAAATATACCTGTTTATTCAATAGTATTCTTTTAAACTTAGTTACCTTTCATCACCAGTAATAGTGTCGATGGCGTTCCTGAGAGATTCCTCTGTAACGGAACCCAAATCGAGTCTCAAGCCGATGTTGTGTCGAACGTATTTCTCGACATTGTACCACTGGTCCATCAACATAGGCATTCCAATCAGTGGCACTCCAGCTGTGATTGCTTCTTCCGTCGATTGCAGACCCCCTTGAGTTATGAATGCCTTGATCTTTGGGTGTCCTTAAACGTGAAATGTCTTAAAGGATTTTGCAGAATTAAGCCATAAGTTAGTTCTGGTGTCTGATAGTGAAATCACTAAAACTCCCTTGATTTAAAATGGTTTTAATATACTACTCTGTGATATAATCGCCACTGCGCTAAGCATTTACAAACCTGACCCCAAAATTATTAAAAACAAACAATACAATGGACAAACGGGCATCGCGATTGGTGAACTTGAAAACGTACATCAGCTATACATTAGTGATCAAAATTAAATTTGAAAACTAGTCAAAAAAATATAAAACAGTATTTAGAATCCCGTGGACATTACATCAATACCCGTGGATAAAGACTTCGACTGTGTCTCCTAATGCGATTTAGGTACCTGCTTATCTAAGAAGGTGTGGATTCTGTAACATAGTGCTCTTTAGGAAAGCTGGTAGAAAAATAACAATCTCTGCAATCCCTACTGGTATGGGAATCAGTAATGACTTCCAATTTAACGGTTCGTGCAATGCAAATATGTAAATTATATAGCCCGCAGAGCCCGCCAACTGGCGATGATTATAAACGTCACTGTAAACATACTCAGTAAATCTGATTGAGGCAGCCATTTTGCTATTCTGATGTTCTTTGAGCTCCCGGGCAGTTCATCTTTGTCCCATTTCCAGAGCACATCGTAAGGCAGCTTGGAAAATACTTTGACGAGGATTTGAATCCGTTCTGGAGGTAGTAGCGATGGTTCCACGTTGGTGCCGAAACTAATGTATATAACGCCATGTTTTGAAGAGTCTAAATATTCCTTCAAATCCTGCAAAAGAAATGTCGTTTGAAATATGCTTGTTGCATTACAGCTTGACAGCACTTCCAGAGTTTGCAAGGTTTTGAACAGATCCCAACAGAGATTTATTAGTGTTGTGAGAAAGGCTTAGTTGTAGGAAAACTTTCTTTCCAAGAAATACCAAAGTTATTGTCCAAAAGTGAGGCAGTGCTTCGTACTATTCAGGATTCTCATCGTTTTAAACGCCAACGTGGCTCCACCTTCCAAATGACGCGAATACTAAACACTGAAATATCGACCCCAAGAATACTCTCTCTCTCTCTCTAAATACTCTCGGAAAGTTGCAGGATACCTTGGAATTGCAGCGCCATGAAAAAGGAGTCAACAAATTTTTAAGTGTTTAAGTTTTGTTGTTCAATTCTTGACGCTGTTAATAAAGTGACGGTGACAAATCTGTTTGCAGATTAAGCTGGTTTAAATATACTAACCTTGGGCAATTCCTTTTCGGGATTCTGATGAATACCTCCAATGTATATAACATTCGGAGGGACAGGACGATTTTCCTCCCAAATCGCGTGAACATTCAGGAGTGCCATCTGTACGTTCTTCTGTGTTTCTCTGATGGTTGGAGTGTTCGGGCCGAAAAGCCTTTTTGCCATTTGATTCTCCTGGGGTTCAGATCGCCAATATAGATATTCCAAATAGTAATGAGTGTAAACCTCTCGGACTTTCTCCGAAAATGTTAAGTTATAAATTCGTTGGTGCAAGGAAGGTGGATATAATATAGGATGGGTTGGGACACCAATCATTTTCAAGACGAATTCTACACCCCCAAATGAACTGATGAGGATTGCCGGTGCATCAAACACATGCGTCAAGACCATCGTTGGTCTGATGCATGCTTCTAGAAGGAGCAAATCAAACTTGCTCTCTTTTCTCTTCCTCAGCAGCGACTGCACTTCTTTATTTTTCATCTGCAATTCAAACAAATCTATTCTTAAGTTCAACATTCTGGAAATTTGTTCGTAAATATCATTGGCGCTTCCCCTAGAGGTTTTCATGAAGCCGTCTCTCCAGGCTGAATAAGAAACGTCGTGTACGTCTATTTCTGTGTAATTCGCAGGTGCTTGTCCTGTTTGGAACACCGGGTCAGTGGTCACAACCACTAGTTCATGACCCCTTTTGTGAAGCTCTAAGGTCAGACGACGGAAGACTACTTGATGACTGATTGAGGGTGTAGGGAACACGCCTAGGATCCGAGCCGCTTGGGTTCCGTGTATAATTGTCACAATAAGCACTATCTTGTTTAAAGAAAACATATTTGTCATCACAAGTACTCTTTGGAACACACCGTTGCCTACCACATTGTTCGACATTTAAATAACACAGAACGGTGATATTTTGTCGATTAAATCGATAAAACTTCCTTGTCTTGATAATTGCATCGGATTGTTTCTAAGATATCATATGCTATCTTTTGCCCGCGACTTTCTCTGCGTGAAATAGTTACTTTGGGATAATGCTAAATTTTACCCGCGACTTCATTTACGTACTGGCCTCTGGTAGGACCTCTTGTGAGTTCGCTCGGGTAGGTACCATCACCCTGCCTATTTCTGCCGTGAAGCAGTAATGCGTTTCGTTTTGAAGGGCGGAGCAGCCGTTGTAACTATACAGAGTCCTTAGAACTTATATCTTAAGGTGGGTGGCACATTTACGTTGTATATTTCTATGGGCTCCAGGAATCACTTAACACCAGGTGGGCTGTGAGTTCATCCACTTATCCATGCAATAAATAAATAAAAAATATTATTGATTAATAGAATGTTAAGGGGCTATTTATGGTACCAAAATCACGCTTCAAAAGATGAGGTTATCAATCCGACCACAATTTTTTAATCCATATATACTCACTTTTTTTGTTCGAAAGGGTAGACTTCCCGAATGGTCCTGTAATCATATGGATCAGGATCTGATGATGGAATTCTGGAGAAATCCAGAAGAATCTAAAATTTTCAAAGCCTATTTTGAAGCGATTTGGTTGTTTCTTGTTATTTATTGTTCTTATTCTGTGCCACCGCGCTCCGGCCGGCTGGCACCTTGTACATCATTGTTACGCGCTTGATCATTATTTTGCTGCGATGCTATTTTAAAACTGCGATATCTTCTAAGATACTCATTGAAATCAAAGGATCTAAAGGGGATTTGTTTTGAAATTAAATACTTGTAAAGAATAACGTATTTATTTGGATAAGGATTAATATAATCTTTATAAAAACACCCTCACAAATAATGCTTTATTTTAGAACAAATTTGGTTAGCATAAAGATAGTTATATTGAGCCAACCTTAAAATATTGACATATGCTGTCGCGGACTTTTTTCAAATCGGACCAGCAGTTACTGAGATTAGCGCGCTCAACCAAACAAACAAACATACTCTTCAGCTTTATAATATTGGTATAGATATAGATTTATATCCAAATAAAAGCAATGCAATTAAAAGTGGATTTTTTTATTTTATTTTGGCGCGGGTAAAACTATCATACTTCATATTTCTCAACTCAGCAAAACGTTCGATGTGCAACTTAATCCATGCATCAGCCCGCTGAGTTTTTTGTCGGATCTTCTCAGCGAGTCGCGATTCCAGTCCGGTAGTAGATTCATTCGCGAAGCAGCTGCTCTTGCGTTGTTAGGTCTCCTTTGAGGGCGCTCGGTCAGCTGTTAGCAAATCCCACCCATCGCTGGGTGTCTCGCCCCAAGACTAAGCCTTTGCTTGCTCACCTGTTCTGGTGAAACTGGAAAGATGTCCGAGACACGAGTAATAAAAAAAAAACATCTTCATGATATTAGCGTTTACAGCACGCTCACAGTATGGTTTTCAAAAATTGAACCCACCTGTAATAAATAAGGTATACAAGAAAATCTATAGCACAGCGATCCTGCCGGAACCCATACTGTCGTCACTGCTCAGATGGAGAACTTCAAAATACGTAAGTAGTTGGAAGTTCATTGTTACTTTCATTACCATGGAAAGCAAATGTGTTATGGGAATACGTGTGTAACTCGGGAGTTTGGACCGGTCACCCTTCATAAGGATCGGATGGACTAGGGGCCCTTTTATGTCCTGCGTCAGCTCCTCACTCAACCCGTGGACGACTGCTCTCTGCATTCCACTCCTAGATCGACTAGGGCCTACCACTGTTTCAATAGTTGTACCTATAACGCAGTAAATAAATCGCTATGCGTCATGATAATCGCCTTATCGTTGCCGCCGCTGACTACTCCCCGAATCCTGATCATGCAGGAGCCAGTCACCGTCGACGCCCTAGACACGTCCTTACGGATCCATCAGATCCAATAACCTTTGCATTAGATGCCTTCAGCTCTAATACTAGGGGCAGGCTTAGGGACCCCGGTAACCGTACTCGTCGAACTCGANTAAGTGCACCAGGCAAGCGCAGTCCAACGAATGTTCATTTCAAGGCACGTTCCGCCTTTTTATACTAGCCGGCGCAGCTGGCTTATGAGTCACCTCTGTTGCAGCTGTTGTTTACGAGTGGAACGACACGGCCGGCGCACCTGGTTTGTGTGAGTCACTCCTATTGCACGTGCTATATAACATAAATATCGTTAACGCCGTCAGATTTATATCCAAATAAAAGCAATGCAATTAAAAGTGGAGTTTTTTTTTATTTTTATTTTGGTGTGGCTCAAACTATAATACTTCATATTTCTGTCCCAAAATAGTCACGCATTTTTGGGAAGGGGGTGAACAATTCGTAAAGATAATTCAGAGATCCGTCCCGTAGAGTTTTTCAGAGAACTTCAGAAACAAATTTTGAATGCGTCTCCTGCACCAGGCTCCAAGAGAGAGTGGTAGTCGATATATCGCGTAGCGCTTTTTTTTTGTTCTTGAGCAACCATATTAATGGTACTTACTCATTAGAGTACCATGATGTTGATATGCCGGGTGAAAAGCCAAGCCAATCTTTGTAGAACGGCAGTGGTAATTATTATGGTATCGAAGTAGCAACCGTTGATGATGACAGTGATACTTCTTCTCTTAACAAAATTAGCAAATTATTAGAAGATTCACTCAGAGATTCCATAAGTTGCTAAATTCGATAAAACGTGCTCCATGGCGGCTTTTTACAGAAAAATCTCTTCACACGTCCTTACCGATCCATCAGATCCAATCCAATTGTTTTTTTTTTATTGCCCTTATAGGCAGACGAGCATACGGCCCACCTGATGATGAGTGGTTACCGTCGCCCATGGACTTCAGCAATGCCATGGGCAGAGTCAAGCCGCTGCCTACCGCTTAATACTCTCCACAAGCCTCTTTTGAAGAAGGACATGTCATAGCGCTCGGGAAACACCCTAGAGGGGAGCTCATTCCATAGCCGGATGGTGCGTGGCAAAAAAGACCTCTGGAAATGCACTGTCGATGAATGCAACGGTTCCAGGTAATATGAATGAACTCTGCTCCGATGGCGGGAGGTGCGATGATAAAAAAGAGATGCAGGGATCATCTCAAACAATTCTTGTTTCAATAAATCTTGCATTAGCTCTAGCACTAGGAGCAGGCTTAAAGACCCCGGCAACAGTACTCGTCGAACTCGGCAAAGAGTTCGATGTGCAACTTAAGCTTAACCCATGCATCAGCCCGCTGAGTTTTTCGTCGGATCTTCTCAGCGGGTCGCGACTCCAGTCCGGTAGTAGATTCATTCGCGAAGCAGCTGCTCTTGAGTTGTTAGGTCTCCTTTGAGGGCGCTCGGTCAGCTGTTAGCAAATCCCACCCATCGCTGGGTGTCTCGCCCCAAGCCTAAGTCTTTGCTCGCTCACCTGTTCTGGTGAAACTGGAAAGATGTCCGAGACACGAGTAATAGAAAAAAAACATCTTCATGATATTAGCGTTTACAGCACGCTCACAGTATAGTTTTCAAAAATTGAACCCACCTGTAAATAAGGTATACAAGAAAATCGATAGTGCAGCGATCCTGCCGGAACCCATACTGTCGTCACTACTCAGATGGAGAACTTCAAAATACGTAAGTAGTTGGAAGTTCATTATTACTTTCATTACCATGGAAAGCAAGGGTGTTATTGGAGTACGTGTGTAACTCCAACACATAAAATCTGTCGTATTCTTTACGGAATTAAGTATGTGTCGACAGACTATCCAACTGTCGCAGTGACCACGAGTCTGCTCGGTTTATCGTTAGCAAGCACTGCGATACGTCTTTATAAATTGCTCGTACCTGACGTTAGGCGTTTGAGTGAAATTAATGACGATAGTTGGCTACCGGAGCCCTTAGAGTTCGCAACATAAATGCCGCCAAATTGAAAAAGGAAATTTCCAACTGTAATGGCCATCCCAAGCAAACGCCCGACGAACCGTCCCATGTCTTCTCAGACTGAAGATTGAAGGTCTAACACACGAATCTTTGTAATACGACACCCCGATCTAAGACAATAGAAAATTTCGGCTTGTACAGCGTGATAGTTATTAAAGAAAATAATTGAGAGACTTCAAACTACAGTTTCAAGGTGGGCGGCGTGGTTCATCTATGGGTTCCGGTAACCTGTGCGCCGTGAAGTCGTTCATGAGAAAAAAAAAAAAATAATAATAATTGCATAAAAGGCTTTTAGCGGATCAGCAACTTAAATATTTTTGCTAGTGATTCCTTCGACAACTAAAAGCTCCACATCCAGGGCCTTTGCTCCACCAGTCCGTCCCTATGACCAAAGGTAATATACCTAGTCAGGTCATAAATTCTGTCACATGTTTAATGTAAAATAATTGAAACAAGTTTATTTATGATGTAACCATTCATATACCAAAATGAACTTAACAAAACATAGATTCTTATGACACTAAAGTTTATTCAAAATGACTTCCGTGATTTTGAATACAGGCCTTCAATCTGCGCGGCCAGTCGTCTATCGCAGCACGAACGAGGTCCATGTCAATATCGACGGCTGCCTTAATCAAGGATGTCTTAAGTGACTCCAAATTGGGATGAGGCCTTGAGCACGCCTTTTCCTCCAAGCGTTGCCATATCTTGTAATCTAAAGGATTCAAATCTGGACTGGAAGAGGGCCAGTCTTCGTGCCGAATGAAGTCGATTTCACGCGCCGCCAGCAAGTCTTGTGTGTTCTTCGCTCTATGAGCTGGCGCCGAATCTTGTTGGAATACCCAGTGCCTGTTATTGAACATGGTATGAGAAACAGGTTCCACAAGGTTCGTCAGGACTGTATTTTGATACACAACTCCATTCGTTTTTACACCTTTCTCACAAAAATGTACCTCTGTTAAGCCCCAATAAGAAACTCCCAACCATACCAGGAGCGACGATGGAAAATGACCTCGTTGGACACGCGGAATACGGTTGCTCGCTTCTTCACTACTGTGTGCGTATACCTTATCATTTTGTTTGTTGTAGCTCTCTTCTACGGTAAAAATTTTTTCATCCGAAAAAAGAATTTCCCGATATT